AGCATTTGGCGACACTAGAGATGGTTTTGGAGAAACTCTCAGACTTTGGTCTTCGTTGCAACATGGAAAAATGTTCGTTCTTCAAGGAAGAGGTAACTTATCTTGGGTATATTATCAGTTCAAATGGTAAACAACCAGATTCCACGCGTGTTGAAGCAATTCAAAAGTTACCTGTACCGACAGATGTCAAACAAGTAGAGGCTTTCATTGGCAAAGTAAACTACTATGGAAAGTTTATTCCGAACTTCTCCACCCTCTGCAATCCATTAAATCGGTTGAGACAAAACAATGTGAAATGGAATTGGGACGCGTCATGCCAAAAAGCTTTCGACGCGTTAAAAAAGCAACTCTCGGAAACAACAATGTTGGTGCACTTCGACCAACAACTACCGTTGATACTCGCAACCGACGCATCAAGCTATGGAATCGGAGCAGTTTTAATGCATCGTTATCCAGATGGGACCGAAAAGCCAATCGCACACGCATCGAAAACGCTCAATTCAGCAGAACGTAACTATAGCCAGATTGAGAAAGAAGCTCTTTCCATCGTGTATGGAATAAAAAAATTTCATCAGTACTTGGCTGCGAAATTCTTTGAATTAGTTACGGACCATAGACCTTTGCTGGCCATTTTCAATCCAGCAAAAGGCATCTCGGGAACAACAGCGAATCGGCTTCAGCGATGGTCGTTGGCACTTATGGGATACAACTATGTAATCAAGTACAAGCCGACACTGCAGCACGGAAATGCTGATGGTCTATCGCGACTCCCCGCTGGTGAGGACAAGTCGTTCGTAGACGAAGAATCGATTCAGGTGAATCGTATCCAAGCACAAATTGTGGAAGAAGGCTTAATCGATTCGAACAGAATTCAAATGGCCATCGACACAGATGATCATCTACAAGTAATCAAGAAATATATAATGAACAAATGGCCTAACTCGATGTCACAGAAAAGTGATCCTGATCTTTTCCCGTATTTTAGCGTTCGGAAAGCATTATCAGTAGCACATGGCTGCATACTGAAAGATGTACAAGTGGTCATACCCAAGTCTTTGCGCTTTCGAGTTTTACAAATGCTGCATCGGGGACATTTAGGGGTAGTGAAAATGAAACAGCTGGCCCGTGCCCATTGCTGGTGGCCAAAAATGGAACTGGATATTGAAAACATGACCAAGTCATGTAAGATATGTGCTATGATAGCAGCAAAACCAAAAGAAGATTTCAAGCCATGGCCAGAACCTGAGCTTGTATGGTCTCGCGTACACATGGATTTTCTGGGACCATTATGGAATTCAAAATGGTTAGTTATGGTCGACGCAAAATCCAAATTTCCGTTCGTGGCAGACATGGGACATGATACAAGCGCCAAGAATCTATGCAATGTTCTCGAACAAGCCATTGATTGGTTGGGCCCGCCGACAACATTGGTATCAGACAACGGACCACCGTTTACGAGCTTCGAAATGAAAGAATTTTACAAGCAATACGGCATCGAGCACATCACAACACCGCCATATCACCCACCAAGCAACGGCATTGCCGAAAGATTCGTTAGATCTTTCAAGGAAGGAATGATCATGCAACAAGAGTCAGGTCAAACAAATAAGTCAGTTGCATTGAGAAATGTCTTGCGTAGTTATCGCTGGACACCGCATACTACTACTGGCACCGCTCCAGCAGAAGCACTCTTTCGAAGACCAATTCGAACGGAACTGGCAAGATTACATCCAAGTTTGGCAAAACCACAAACCAGAAAATCAAGCAAATATAAAATTGGACAAGAAATTTGGGCAAGGAATCATCAACGCAATAAACGTATCGATTGGATTCCTGGTGTTATTACACAACAAGTAGGTTCAATGATGTATCGGATCGAATTAGGAAATGGACAAACATGCGTACGTCACCAAAACCAACTTCGATTCCGTCAAGAATCGGACATTCAAGATGATCTGGAAGATCTAACAGAAAATTTGTTGAACCGAAATAAACCAACAGTAACACCTGTGGTACAACACACACCGCAGCAGGCACGACAGCACACACCGCAACAATCACCTCGATATCCACAGCGACAACGGCGACCACCTGACCGGTATTCACCGTAGTGGCAATTTTAAAGGTGGAGGTGTTGGATGGACTATTCCATTACGTCATGTGTTGGAGTTTTCCTTCACATATGCTTAACATATGTTGGGATTATCCAGTGTACACACATATATATACGCGTGTTTCTTGTCGTTCTTAGCACTCACCTTCCGCCCTCTATCACCGTTCTCTCTCTTCTCTCTTACGTTTATCTGTGCGTGCGTTCTCGTGTTCATACTACCGTAATAAACAGAACTCACCTACACCACCTCTTACACAACAACCTACAGTCTAGTAAGAACAATTTTTCCAAGGACATATAGCGGATTTTCATGGTATTTCCGGTGTGGGCTTATTCATTGCCTCTGGTACACATTGGTGTGTGCAAAACATAACGTTTTGGGATTATACGATGTATAATACATTCAAAGGCGTTTCTTTGAAATCTCGTTCGGGTAAAGAAGGACATATGGGAGAAATAAGCGATATTCTCTATGAAAATATTCGAATATATAATATTTGTCAACGGCTATATGGTTTGGACTACAGTAGACTACTTTCAAGGGAGCTTGCTCACTTCTGTGGTCATCCATGTCGGAAATGTCACGCTCGATTTCATCTGGTATCATTTAGAATAGTACTACTCTCTTATGATCCACAAATAAGTCCTGATGTGATCGTGTTGGTAATTCTTGGAATCGAATGAAGAAGATTTTATTTGGTTAAGTAGCCATAAAAAATTCCGGTTCACGTTCACGCGGTGATGAAAACTACGCGTGTTCGAATGCCGAAGATATTGCAAAATGTAGTACCCAACTAACAACACCTTTCTTCAAGCATTACCTGTCCGAAAACCGTTCAGAAAAGCCTACAGAACATTAATGGGCAAGCACTTAAATTTCCAAAAGCGTGATGATCGTGTGATTCAGATGATTTATGAGGAATTCCTCACCAATACCGTAAGAGGGCATGTCAAGATAAAATGTAACGTCTATTGAAAGGATCGTTACATCACATTCCTGACAGTATCAGACGAGCAAAAGGTCAAACATTCGCCTCTGATCCGTTACAAACAGACCTCCGTATAAACAGATGTGCTTGCATTTTTTCCCACTACTCTCATTTCAAATTGAGGGAATAAATCTTGCAATTTTCCAGCGAAGGTTGTTGCTGATCGTGCTTGAGATACAACAGAAATTCCAACCAAGTCATACATATCTTAGATTCCTCTCTATCCATCGTCGTACTTAAGAGAACAAAATTTTGTACATATGTGTAGATATAGTTTTAATCGAGTGCATCAATTAATAAAGTTCATAACAAACAATTGTGGAAAGTGATACTTGTAATTGTTCCAAAAATCTTATCAAGTAAGATTAAATGTCCACTGGTAAAAGTTTTTGTATTCAATTTCTGAAGTTCTAGCGATCTTTACTTTCAGAATGCTCATAAATGCTTCATACTTTACTATTATATATTGAAATTATGGTATGCTTGGCATCCGTAGTTTCAAAAGTAAAGTAATATAAAGAAGCTTATAGTCAGACAACGGTGACGCGAAAGAAAAAAATGAAAATAATATTCAGATCAGCATTCACGAACTCTATTCGAACACCCTCAACAAAAACATCAAATTGATCGGTGAACGTCGATTATCTTTTCAAGAGATTTTATCTGTTTGCATGTTTCAACGAAAATACTTATCAAGAATTATCTTTGGAGCAAGAAAACGAGTAAAAGACAAATGCAACGAGCTAACAATTTGGAAACATGCTATCATCGAAAAGTAGACGTCAATAAAAGATTGTGTAACGTTTACGCATGTATTTATTCAAAGAAGATGATCGAAGATCAAGTTTAGAAATATCAAAATCACATATCAGTGATGCTTTTCCGGAGTACCATCAGTTGAGTAGATGACAATCTCAATCAATATGACTGTTGTGTAGTATAGAGCACGATTACCAGACCCGAAAAAGTATGAGAGAGTAACTATAAAAATATTTACCGTATGAATAACTCCTCAACTTAAAATGATAGCGTACATTTATGTTGAAGACATTTACGAAATAAGAGAAAAACATGAATGACAGAATATGTATGTCACCTCTTCAAAAATTAGTATTCACGGCCACGCATGAGACAGTTCGTTTCTCTCATCATCATTCGTATGAGACCATGACATTTTGAAGTTGTTTCTATTCTAAGAGAATATCGTTATGAGTGTTGTTATATGTAGATATTTTCTCTCTTCATGTTGCTACTCATATTCTCAGTGCATTCACCATTGAAGTAACCTTTTCCCGGACTTCTTTATTTATTTACGGAAAAAAAGTCGTCAATATACAGTACAGCATCAAAAATACATTTGCGTATCACTTACGTCTATTTATTTGATTCAAAGGGGAATTTGAACGACTAATTGTCCCTCTTCGTCTAGTTTTTTTGTCATTTGATCAGTTTTTGCACCGTCTGGTAACGTTGTCAATCGATAGAAACGTGCGCGTTTCGACCGACCGTTTTCTTTACGTATATGTTCACCTTGGACAACTAGTTCATTGTCTTTTATTGAAGCGTCAATTTCTTCCAAAGGACATTTTTTTACATCAATTGTCATTTCTAATGCCTTTGCATTATCGAGATCGATGATACGTGGACAGAAGTCTGCATTCGCTAAACGTTTAATATAGTCTTCTAACGAATCAGGTGGTGACTGTGTTGAACCTTTGTCTTTGCATTTTTCTGCTTTTTCGGAGCTATTTGCTTTTTGTGAATCACCATAAGGTACTTCGATCAGAAGAATGCCGTCTGACACCATTTTCGAAGTCATACGTGCCGCATCTATATAGCGATAAGATTACCAAATGAACGATTAAAAAAAAACTTTTTACTAACCAGCTTGTTTCGGTAAACTATAGCAGTTTTTTACTTTCTGAACACTACAACCACAATATTGTTGTCGATCACCTTGATTCGCTTCGACGGTTACTTTGCCATTTTCGGCTTTTACTTTCACATCCTTTTCATCGAATCCAGCAACATTCACACGAATACAAAACTTTTCTGGCTTCTTTTTAGCCACTGGTGCTGGTGTGGGACATTTCTTGCTCTTTTCTGAACCGGTATTTGCTGATTTGTCTGTCTGTGATGATGACTTTTTATCGGCTGTTTTATTCGTCGATGTTGAAGGTTTACAACATCGATAGCCCATTGGTCGCATACAGCAGTCCGCTGAGCACGGATCCAAACAATCCCATATATCGCAACCATCCAGTTGATCACATGAATCTTTACAATCCGAAGGAGAAGATATTTTAAAGCACGCCATTATGGAGACAAATCAAACGAAAATGATATTGAATTCTATTCAAAACACACAAATTTATACACACATGTGTACACATATACGATGATGCGTATTGAAAATACAGAAGTGTAACATTTTCCACCTGTTGCATCTTGATTTGCCATGCTAATTTGACTTTTTATATACCCAGGTCTCACAGTACGCCCATCATTTCTGGCGCAGAAAATGAACCGTTAGTATACGAAGATAGCATTGTATATTAGCGTATTGTTATGCCATACGATTCAATGTTTACGTAACGACTGAAGCTGGACTTCATGCCGTAACAACAGCTATCTTTATACACTGACGGTTTGTTCTCTGTACCAGAAACTACAGTCGTGTCGATAGATCTGAGGCACTCATAGATGGCGTTCATATTACATACATACATACATACATACATACCAGCGCATCCTAATATAAAATACTAGAAGTCATGTTTACATAGACTGCATTTTAAGTGTAAGAATGATCATTACGCAGCTCATTGATTTTAGCCTGAGCTGCCTGTACCGATATGCATACGTTTCTTCAAACCATGTTATCTTGAATATAAGGAATCATCTTTTCTCATCGATTCCATATGACAAAAATTTCGAAAGTGATGAATACGCAAACGTGTCTACCATGCAATAGAACTGGAGTTCTTACAAATAATTCAAGTATTTGATTGCTTTGCTCTTTAAAATCGCTGACGACCGTACGGAAGTATTTCAATACCACTACATAATCAATTATGCTTGGTTATAAAGTTCTCCACCAATGTTTGCTTCTATATATTCAGGAACGTCATAATTCAGAAGTGTAGTCTCATCCTCACTCGTCCTACATATCGATGTTAACACTTTACTATATTAGTGTGATTATGACTTAATTTGTAGCTTTATACGATAGTTAATGTGTTTCAATCAATCAAGCAAATACTCTTTATTGAATGTTATAGACTTTCGAGCAACACAACTGTGTTTCTTCATATACTTCATTCTGTTTACATAACGACTACTTTTACTGCTATTTCATAAAATAAAGAGAACGTAACACGCCTAGTCACATACAACGAGCGTTATTTATTTGTAACAGGGGTGCAAATGTGAAAAAGAATAAGTTCTATCGGGGGTGCACCAGGAAAGAGAAAAACATTTGCAAAGCAAAATATCATAGGGGGTGCACCATTGAGAAGCTATTGCTCACACAAGAATATGAAAGGGGTGCCACTAAAATTAATAATTCTTCATAGCAGACAAACTTTTATAAATAGAAAAGCTGCTAAGAGAAAACGTCATTTGAGAATACATCCAACAACTAGCATTTTTTGTAATTAGATAGCGTTTGAAGATATACCTAGGTGAGAACAAATGGCAAGCGATGATTAGTAATGTCTACAGGGACGAGATTTTCTTTGGAAGCTTTAGAGCAACTTGAGACTTGCATGTAAGTAAATAGAACGACTGATTTTATACAAAAAAATATGAAAGTATACTGCTCAAATATATTCAACTTTAGACGTAGTGTGCTTTTCATTTACAGAGTATGTCAAAATTCAAAGTATGAAATCGTTTCAACCTCAAACCCGAAAACGAATTCATACATAGGCAGCACGTTAGAATTGAGTCACCTTTTCACAGTGTTTTGATATGTTTTATCGATTCTTCTCTTATTTCAATACCAATGTGCTTCTCAAAGCATAAAAACAATTCCATCAATTTTTTTTCTTTCTCTAAAAGAAAACGCATTCAACATTTGTTTAACACGTACACTTTACCATGCGATAGATGCAATCAGATTTATAATGTAAATATTTATTTCAGACAAGTATTCAACAATGAGAGCAAAATCTAATGAGCATGCCACTCATAGTTCATCAGCAGCCACACCAACACACCATAATTCTACTCGATGTTATTCAACCAAGACATTTCGTCTCCTGACTATGCTTTCACTCACATTCTCCTTTTTTTTCATCGAACTTATTGTTGGTAACATCACCAATTCATTAGCACTGGTAGCCGATGCTTTCCACATGCTTTCCGATGTCATCTCACTTTTCATCGGTTTATTTGCTGTGCGGATAGCTAAAAGACGTTCTGATATTAACACATTCGGATGGGTACGTGCTGAAGTCGTTGGTGCCAATATCAACACTGTCTTCTTGCTGGCTCTTTGTTTAACGATCATCTTTGATGCCATCAAACGGTACATTCAACCAGAACCTATCGAGAATCCTACTCTTCTCCTCATTGTTGGATCGGTGGGTCTTGGAATTAATATTATTGGTCTGTTTCTATTCCAAGGCTTTCATGGTCATTCACATGGTGGTAGTAGTGACGCTGATGAGGCACATGGTCACAGCCATAACAGCACAGCACGTGATCATGGTCATAGTCACAAACATAAAACGAAGCGTGCACAAAGCCATCACGTAGATGACAAATCGCAGACAGAACAACCAAAAACAGTAACTTCGATCAGAGAGAACACACACGATATTACACCGTCGATATCTGATGAAAACATCGAACCACTCGAAGTCGTTGTTACTTCTTCTGACTTCAGAAGACACAGCCTTCGAGCTCTCAACGAGGTAACACTCCTGCGTCTTTCTCATCATCTCATAACCATTCCTATCTCCTCTAGGTTATTGTCGACTGCATTTATCATCCTCCTTCACCATCATCCCCACAGATCCATTCTCCGACACACGTCAACAAAAAAGAAAAAAAGTCATCCATGAATATGCACGGCGTGTTCCTCCATGTCCTAGCTGATGCTCTCGGCTCAGTCGCCGTCATCATCAGTTCTCTCATCATCAAGTTTGTACCTCACGATCCAGACAATAACAAACATTGGACAGTCTATGTCGATCCGACCTTGTCTGTCATCATTGTTATCATCATCACTGTCTCTGCTATTCCACTACTGAAAGAAACAACCCATGTTCTTCTTCAAACTGTTCCCAAAGATCTGCAAGTATCGACGCTCAAGAAACAATTACTAGAAAAGGTGTCGGAAGTGGATGGGATTCATGATTTACATGTATGGCGATTGACTAGTAATGCAATTGTTGCCACTGCTCATCTACATCGTCGCTCATTCTCAGACTATATGACTGTGGCTGACAAAGTAAAACGATTCTTTCATGATGCCGGTATTCACTCGACCACGATTCAGTATGAGTACTGGAATGATGAAGAACGTGACAGATTGGTGGGGAAGAATGAAGTTGATGGAGAAATGAAAGCGAGTTGTTTACTGAGTTGTTCTGATGAAGTTTGTGAAATGAAAACATGTTGCACGAAAGATTCAATACGTAGTAATGCGGTATATAGCGTGGTTAATATGAATCCAACACGCGTAGACGCAAATAGCCCAAGTGCAACATATAGCAAAACGGAGAATGAACCATTGTTTTGTGAACAAGAAGAAAATGATCGATTAATGGGAACTGAAGCAGTGTGACACGAATTATTGTTGGTATATTTCTCTTACTTCTTCTTGNAAACTGAAAAAAGTTTTCACCTGAAAACTCTACTGTTCTATAAAAACGATCATCCTTCATTTCAGTCTCTTTTCGTATACATCCTGAGAACTCAGTATCTTTGAAATAAAGGCGCGAGGGCACGAATCCTCTTGAGGTTTTTCATACCTCATTGAGGTCTATCTATCACCAAAAGATGGGATCTAAATCGCTTAATCACCTAAATATGTTCCCTCGTTAGAGAGAAAGAGAAGGAAGGTAAAAATAGAGGCGTATGTTCTGTATTATCGAACAGTAAAGAAAATTATATGTAGATTATTTTTAAGCCGCCCATGTATAACATTCTAATAGAAATTCCTGTTAAAGTTTATCTTTTCTCATAGTGTTGTATCTGTACAAGTACAACACTTCTAGCAGGAGTACCTACACTCGTCTTACCTCAGATGTGGAAGATATTGTGAGAGATTCACAACTACAACTGCAATAGCTGAATATTCAAGTTCTTTTTTTACAACGACGAATAATTCAATAAAGTGAATGAATGAATTTATGCATCCATTATATAGATGAGATTAGATTTTATTGGGTGCAATTTAGTTTCGTAAGGTGACGTAAGTAGAAAATGTGCGCACCCCTGTTATGTATTTTTGTACGTTACCTCCCCTGTTAAGCTTTGAAGGGGGTGTTGAGATGGTTTTCATGTGATTGAAATATGTCAAGTGTTAATTTCCCAGGGAGAGGGAGAAAGAAAACGCTGTCGACCAATTGAACGAAAGACTTCGAAGTATTTCCGCTTTGATTGTTCTAGAGTCTGATGGATATACGGATTGCATTTCTCCAAGTCATAGAGAAATAACAAGAAGTGTTTTTGTACAGAATTCGATTGGATGTATTCAACCGACGAAATTTCTTGTAGGAAAAATGAGTATATGCAAGTTTTCTAATGAACTTATAAATAGAATGATCACGACAAAATGAAGCAGTTTTTGCGGTTTTTGAAATTCAAAGTAGACACGGTACCGCATCGATACTGAAGTGATTTTGCTCGTGTTTATTATGTTTTCAAGATGTTAAAGTCCTCCAAAAGAATTTCATGTCATAGGAGTATATTTTAAATTACAAAGCAAGTAATCGAATATCGTAATCAATCAGTAACATGATGTTGAATTAAGAGAAAAGGTCTCGTTTCAGGTAGTGATCATTTTAGCATCCGACAATAATCTTTTCATTAAGTAAGAAGAAATGAAAGAAAAAAGTGGGTACATGTCACTCATTTTTAAAAGAGTTCGAAAAACGTATCGAAAAACACTTGACCATTTCAAATACATCTTCTTCAAACAAATGAATAATAACTGATAGATAATCAGTGTATACCGTTTTTGTCTTGATGTCACATTCTCTGGTCATTTTTTTATTCAAATGTAGAACATTCACTATAATATAGAGACTTATTACTCGGACAACAATTGTTGAGCTTTGAATATACTATCTTGCCGAACATTTATATAAATCAATCATTCTCTGGTCAAAGAATAATACATATTATCAAATCAGTACTTAAATTATAGCTTCTTTTTCAGAGAAAACATATTCGAATTTATCTGACCCATTTATGATTGCTGCAAAATAACATTCAATGACTTGTATTCACTCGAACTTACGATAATGAGAGCGAGAATATTATAAAAACTTATTTCGAAGCTGGTCGACAACGGTTTCTTTTTTCCTCCCCCTGTGAAATTAACGCTTGACGTATTTCAATCACATAAAACCTATTTCAACACCCCCTTGAAAGTTTAACGGGGGTGCGTACATGTTTGCTGACATCACTTTACACAATATATTACACCCAATACTAAACAATCTATATAAGGCACATATAAATTCATCATTGTAAAGAAAAACTTGAAGAATCACCTACTGCAGTTATAATTGTGAATTTCTCGGAATGCCGTCATCAGCTCACAAGAATACTCGATTCTATTCAACCAAGACATTTCGGCTGGTATCGATGATGACATTGACATTTTCATATTTCGTCGTCGAACTTGTTGTCGGCAACATTACCAATTCATTAGCATTGGTAGCCGATGCTTTCCACATGCTATCTGATCTAATAGCTCTTGCAATCGGATTAATAGTTGTGCGGATAGCTAAAAGACGTTCTGATATTAACACATTCGGATGGGTACGTGCTGAAGTCGTTGGTGCCAATATCAACTCTGTCTTCTTGTTGGCTCTTTGTTTAACAATTATTTTTGATACTATCAAACGGTACATTCAACCGGAATCTATCGAGAATCCTACTCTACTCCTCATTGTTGGATCGGTGGGTCTTGGAATTAATATCATTGGTCTGTTTCTATTCCAAGGTTTTCATGGTCATTCACATGGTGGTGGTAGCGATGTTCATGAGGCACATGGTCATAGCCATAAGAGCACAGAACGTGATCATGGTCATAGTCACAAACATAAAACGAAGCGTGCACTAAGCCATCATGTAGATGACAAATCGCCGACAGAACAAGCAAAAACAGTAACTTCGATCGGAAAGAACACGCACGATATTACACCGTCAATATCTGATGAAAACATCGAACCACTTGAAGTCGTTGTCACTTCCTCTGACTTCAGAAGACACAGCCTTCGAGCTCTCGACGAGGTAACACTCCTACACTTTTCTCATCATTGCATAATCATTCCTATCTCCTCTAGGTTATTGTCGACTGCATNTGAAAAAAGTTTTCACCTGAAAACTCTACTGTTCTATAAAAACGATCATCCTTCATTTCAGTCTCTTTTCGTATACATCCTGAGAACTCAGTATCTTTGAAATAAAGGCGCGAGGGCACGAATCCTCTTGAGGTTTTTCATACCTCATTGAGGTCTATCTATCACCAAAAGATGGGATCTAAATCGCTTAATCACCTAAATATGTTCCCTCGTAAGTCAACTGTCAAATATAGGTGAAGGATAAATGAAATAAACAAATGCTCCAATATTCGGTATTGCATTTTCGCAATCTGTCGACGTCCACATTCTAGTAGATCCAAGAAGATCGCGTACAATTTTTGTTGCAAATAAATAATCAAACGGAAGTGAGTTTGACCTCTTTTCATGATTTTATTTCTTTCAAATGAATCTTTCATTGATAATATACGTTCCTTTTAAAATTTCAGATATTCATTCGCTCCTCTTTCACAATGGATTCTTTTGTCGTAAAAATAATAACCGCTCTCAATTTTTTTCTTATTACATTAACCTGTTCCATATGTCCAATTGTCATTTCATTTTGGATGAAGAAACAACATAATAAATTCAAAACAGTTGCATTCTCTGAGTCATCAAAACAACGTTCTACGAAGACTATCTTAAGAAAAATACTCATCAGTAGTGTAACTTGTTTTGGTGGCGGGGTTTTCCTTGCTGCTTGCTTATTAGATCTTCTACCCGACGTTATCCATCACATCAATACAACTTTGAAAAACGAGTTCAAATATGATAATCCGAAGGAATATCCTATTGCTGAAATACTTATCACTTCTGGCTTTTTCATTGTTCTCTTTATCGAACAAATCACTTTGTCCATTCGGTCACCAACAGCAAGTTTAACTCCGATATTTCGTGAAACATCTTCTCCTAATGTTTCGGAAATGGCACATGTCGAAAGAGATGGTGAGAAAAATGAACAAGTTTTACTAATGCTTAGTAACAATTCTTCATCAACTATCGAACATCAAATGTCATTGATGAACCCCAAATGTGATACAACCAGGAATGCAAATGATCTACTTATTACCCGAAATTTGCTTATGATATTGTCACTTGTTATTCATTCAGTATTTGAAGGTATCGCCATTGGTTCATTGACTGATTCTCAAACAATTATACAATTATCTCTTGCTATACTTATTCATAAATCAATTATTTCATTTAGTGTTGGTCTTAAATTGATACCTACATCAAAGAATCAATCGGCCTATCTCGCCTGTGTTATTTTTGCTGCTGCAACGCCTACAGGTATATTAACTATGCTAAGTATGCAAGGAATTTTGCCAAATCATCGTTCGACTAAACTTGTCAATGACTGTCTTCGTGCTTTTGCATGTGGTACTTTTTTCTACATAACATTTTTCGATGTTTTACCCCATGAACTCAATAGTACATCAATACCAGCAGGACCATCGCCCATATCGAAACTACAACGACTGATCAAGACATGTTTTATATTTATTGGTTTCGCTGTCACTGCCGCTCTTATATTTGCAACAAAGTGACTCTTTCTTTTTATTTATTAGCGTTTTAGTGTAACTCATTATGATCTTCATTACAAGATTTTCTCGAAACAAATACTTTGTCATATACTGCTCGTGCGACTGGTTTGAGTTGTCTCCTTGTCCTTGAAGAGTATCTAGGAGGACTACTGGTAGAATTTTCAATGTCATGTGCCCTGGCACTAAGTTTCGTTTCGAATCTGTACTGACAGATATTCTCTTTCTAATTGTTAAGATTGACACTTTATCAAATATTGGATTCAATCAGTAATTGCAAGTAAAACTAAAAGAAAAAGACAGAAATACGTATATTAAATCTCACAAGTCATCACAAATGTATGAGTTATAACAAAAAATACAAAAAAAAAGAATTATTTTTTGATCATTTTTGCGATAATAGTTGAGATCGCAGAGCCATTTTCCGAAAGACTAACTTTTCGTATGTCCAGTGAAATGTTTTGCTTATTATTTCGTGTTTCATTACTTGACGATGCTTCGAGTGTTATAATTAGTTCAGGGCTCAACTTAGGATATAGAACTTGGCATAATCCATCAGTACTTCTGATCACTATATGCTGCACTTTTGTCAGATTTGATTCATTTTTCGAGTGCTTCACAACATTTCGAAGGATGTCTAATTTAGTCATTTCATCATGACCAACAAGTGCTGCGAGAAAAATGATTTCACATTCTTTCAGGATTGATTCTACTTCGATTGGAATCGACTTCTGACCAATATCCTGCGTAATGAAATGCATTCTTTCGATTAGATGTCCAGGTAATAATTGCTTAGTTATGCTTAATGCCAACTGATTCGCCTCATGTGACACGTCAATGTTGTAAATATCAGCAAATGGAGCGTACTTACGAAGAATAAGTATGGAAGAGATGGGAATAGGACCTGAACCAATAAAAGCTATTTTGTTTACCAAAATGTTGCTTGTATCATTCGGTATTGAACTTTGAGAGAACCGAATGCCGAGTTCGTGTAGCATGTTAATCTCAAATTCAATTAATCGATGATAATCACCATCGTCGGAAAACTGTTCAATCAAATTTAGGCCAGGATTGGTCGTATATATCTTTGCCAAGTTCTGTTCGAGATAATATTCATATTGTGATCGTGAACGGCGCAATTGATCACATACTGCTTGAAGAACCAAATCTGTTTCTAGCATACGTTCAAATATAGATGGGTCCAATGCAGTCGAGCAACAAAATTTCAGAAGTTCATCGAATAATTTTGTTGCTTCGGAAGAAGGATTGAATAGACTAAGTTGAGAAATTGCTTTGTTATAGTCGATGAGCGTTTCGCGAATAGAATTACTCGTCGCAATAAGTTCCATTGTCTCCAGAAAATGGCAAGCTATATAGTGCAAAATTGATCTGGGAATAATTTCATACAGCACATATAGATCCTTATTATCAACACTGCTCTCTGCAAAAAATACATTATTCATGGAAACATAAATACACCGAGAGCCCACGCCTTCTGAAAGCACCCCTTTTGTGCTAGTATTCTTCTTTTCGGAGGTGTCTATTGCCACTCCCCCCTTTCTGTAAACGCTTATTCATTCATTAAAGCTCCCCCTTTTATACACGCTCCCCTCTAAAAAGGGCGAGGGTGTTATTGTAAACAGTGTGTACGTTAGTAGTAATGATTTTAACATGAGAACAGCAAACGAAACGAATGTATTCGGCTCTATATTCCAAACTGCGAATACTTTAACGATAGAGTCTGATGCTGGTTTAGAATGGTGAAGAAAATTAAGAATTTCACATATAAAGAGTTTCAACATTTGCCTTTGTGACTTATATGAGAAGCTTTTATCAGATTTGCGTAAGATGATTTGTTCTAAATCAATTGTGGAACAAAGAAATGCATCGAGCCCGAGGATGTCGAGGTAGCGGAAAGTATCAGAACTTTAGATGCATAGTCGAGTACTTATTTTTCTAGAGAAATCTTGTGAAATTCATTTGTTTCAATAGTAGCAGTGTTAAACGAATTGATTTTATACATCTATACAGAAGACAACGACAGAAAACTTAGGTAAAAAATAAATTCAAACAAGACACTGTATCGGGATATCCATGATACTTGGATCCTTGATTTTTGGTTCAAAACGAGTAAGTTCTTGTATTGAAATCATGCGGACAGCTGGTACACGTAATTGTGCTTTCAATGGAATGCACTGACCATCGCGGCTCACGGTTGTATAAGCTGACACTCCATCTTTTTCAATCAACCAAGTATCAGATACGATTTTCTTTCCATTAAGTTCAGTTGTACTTTCGTTTACATAAGAAGCCCATGCTAAAAGAAAATTGCAAGTCAAAATGAGAAAGAAGATCAAGATAAATATCATACATGGTATACATCTCATTGGTTGTTCTGAAAATGGAATGGCTGAACAGGATTTTGAAGCTTCATCTATAGTATACGTTTGATTGTCATTAAAGCTTTGAATAGACCACATTGGATATGAAGCTCCACTTGACACCGTTCGCATTTCACCTTTGATTCCCATCAAACCACGATCGGCATCATACGATAACGTATTAGAGCCCTAATAGAATAAAAACTAGTTTTATCAAATAACTTGTAGAAAAGAGAATATCTCACGATGGTTTCTTCTACGTTTCCATCAGTTGATCGAATGTAGATATGCGTTAGAACATCTGCGTTGTACTGTTTGATCCAACAGCAACGTTCTGGTTCCTTTACAGCTGCCCTGATCGATCTGCCATAGCCATTGGATACAAGTAAAGAGATGGTAATGTACACGACGTAGTGAAACATGATCAATATCTAAAGAAAAGAACGATAGAAATAAAGCACATCGTACATTTTAATTCTTAATTCGTATCGAAATATATTGACACTTATATACTCATTCAAATCACGTTAGCAATTAAGCAGAAAGTATATGTATGACACATACTATTAGAATATTAATTATAGATATGCGTTTGTTATTTTGTCCCATCACTGCTTTCTACCTTTCCCCATATCCTTGAGTGACGTCAGAGTGGTTTGAAAATGTTTACCTGACGTGTGTGTGTGGTATACAGCAAAATAACTATTTACGACGCAATGGAAAAAAACGTAATTCTTTCAAATTGGTTTTGAAGTCGGAGAGTATTTATAGACTATTATATAATTATATGCAAATCGTTCTGGTATATTTGTTTGTGGCAAATGAAATGATGAATATTCATTTTCATGTGATCAAAGTATTTACGTCAAAGATATTGTGATTATTTATCATGATTCTAAGATTCCTTCATATTCAAATGACAAACTTGGACTAAACACTCCACATACTTATTGCATTTATTCTTTTTTTTATAGATTTATGATATACAAATGAGAATATTTATCTTTCTGTTCTACATTGTTTCAATTATGAGATTCTGTTAGGTTTATGTAAGTGCAATTGGTATTTGTATCTTTAATTGACCATCTTTATCCAATTGCTTTGTCATCTGTTGAGTTTGTGCTCCAGCTGGTAATGTTGTCGATCGGAAGAACCGTGCTCGTTTGGAATGATGATTTTCTTTATGTTTACACTGACCTCGAACAACTAACTCATTGTTTTCTATAGAAACATTCATATCTTCGAGTTGACAGTTTTTCACATCGATTGTCATTTGCAACGCTTTCCTATTGCCACCAAGGTCAGCAATGCATGGATGAAAATCTGCACTTATCAAAAGTTTAACATAAGAAGCCAATGAATCACGTGATTCTTGCGATTCCGATTGAGGGAAGTTTCCATATTGACTATTTTGCATGTGACCTTGTCCAGAATAACTTCTGTTCGGATAACTTTGCTCTGGTGCTTGCCCAGTATAATTACTATTTGGATAACTTTGCTCCGGGGCTTGTCCAGTGTAGTTATCATTTGGAACGCTGTGCTCCTGACATTGTGGAAGATCATTTCCATAGCCGCTGCTTTGTTCTTGACCCTGACCAGAATAGTTTCTATTTTGGTAGCTTTGCTCTGGAGCTTGTCCTAGATAATTTCCGTTTTGAAAACTTTGTTCTTCACCTTGTGTCAGACAATTCTCACCCGGCGAACTTTTAGTAAAAGGCGCCTCAATTAGAAGTATATTATCCGATACCATTCGAGAAGTCAGACGTGATGGATCTATATCAGCAAATTAGAAAAAAAGAATTGATATTTCTCAATTATTACTTACCAGCTTGTTTAGGTATTTGATATGTTCTTTTAAATTGTCGGATAGTATACTCTTCGTCATCTTGTCGGTCTTCTTGATTAGCTTCAACAATTAGTTTGCCATTTTCAACCTTCATCTTGACTGATTCCTGATCGAATCCACGAATATTCACATGGACACAGAACTTTTCTGAATTGGCTTCGGCTGCTGCTGATTCTGTTCCTCCGTTCGTTGAATTGCATCCTTGCGTTTTCGACAAACTGATCGATGGTTGACACTTCGCACTACACAATCGATAAACTCGTGGTTGAATGTAACAAGTTGATGTGCATGTATCAAAACAATCCCATGGTTCATAAGCATCCGAGTCATCACACGCGCTTGTGCAAAGGTAGGGTGAACAGAATCTGTAGCATGCCATTTGAAAAGTAAGTTATTTGACGATAACTGTTGAAATATATATTATCGTGTTTAGACCAGAGCGCACGTACAAACGTACGACGATACATATTGAAAAGTAATGAAGTGTAACTTTTCGTTTGTTACATCATTAATTGTTACGCTTGGTTATGAGGTTGTGTGTTTTCTGTTCTTTGTTTTTTCTCTATCGATGTTAAAAAAAACAATTTCTCATTAACTACATTTCGAAATAATTAAAAATATTTCAGTTCGAAAACAGTTCTTGAACACCAATGATCGGAGTTGGATATGCATTTCGGACATAATTTCTAGGAGCCGTACCATTACGCTATGAACCCAATTACTTGTTTGCCGGACTGCGCTTTTTTAAACATAATCTCAATCGGCCATTTCCTTTTCATCCCGAGAACAAAAAGTTTTGAATTTCAATATGGAGGATATGCCTACAGTCAAGAAACTGACGTTATTAACACCAAAACGATTCATCCAGAAGGTATTCACGGTGTAGTTTAGTGAGCTTATAATACTTATTGATCTATTGTCGACAATAATACTGGAAGTAGTGTAAGATTAGGCTTGTTTTCGTGTGTTTTTTTATAGTATAACGGAAAGGTAGAGAAAACAAATCAATCAAGATGTTTATCAATAATTTTACACCGTAATGAATTTTCCCAATTGCTCTATTTGAATCACACATTGCAAGCGTAGACACATCGAAAAAGATGCAATGCGAATGTAATGACAAACGCATGGTTATTTGTCGATCGAAAACCATATTATGCAATGTGTACATTTCTCTAACTTGCTGAGTATTCTGAAATTTCGAGTAAGAACAAGGATGGACCATCGGTTTAAGAAAATCCACAAAACTGAAATAGACAAATTACGAATTCCATCTCAAGAAGTTGTTTAATCAATTTGATTCATGAATTACCAATATACTATAACAAGTATGTGATGATTGGCATAATAGATGCTATTATTAGTTGTTCGACTGTTCCATTCTTCGTAATCCACTTGATATATTATTAACAATCAGCAGCCGATTCGAAGGAAGTCCTACAACCGTCGATATTGCTATTTCCGATAACCGTGTTAATAATGTACGACGTGTACTTCCACAGTCAGTACAAATCCAATATCTGATTAGAGTAAAATAGAAATCTGTCTTGAGTGAACCATCGTCTAACTCATTTTCTAATCATTCATATGCTGTCTACCACTTTAAGTTTGTATCAGCAAGCAACTCACGAAAATTACAAAGCGTTGTCAACTTTAAACTAGTCGTTCTTGTTTCAATAGCGATTATAAAATAGGTTGATTATTTTTCAGCTCATCAGCAACTACAGAAAGGTTTCACTTTTGATAAGCTGACACTTGATGAGAAAATGAAATTTAGATGATAATTACTCCAGTTTTTACTCGTTATACAATATTTGATTTCGATGAAGAAAAAACCTTCAATCATATCAACAAGATAAACAATGAAGGTCAAACACATTGATTTTAATTTCAGAAAAATGTTTATCAAATAGTTCAAATCACTTCGAGAAGGGAATATATGAACTCGAATGTCGCTACTGCGTAATTGAGACGTTAATGAAATAGATGTTCGCATTGTATACAGCTATGTTTTAACAGTTCGTATTTGTTTCCTTCTGTATACTCCGTTAGAAAGTTTCTATGGTTAAAAACTCGCATGTGTCAACGTTTTATTTGCTTCCTGTAATTGAAGCATTGCAAGTATGATTTATATCATGCTCCCCGTTATCAAATATTATTTTAGTCACTTAAAATGACAGAACCACTTTCTCTTCTTCCACAAGCATTTTTTTTTGTTCTTGAGTTTTATAAATATTATCAGTTGCTGCTACCATAGCTAAAGAACAGCTTTTATTATAAAGATAAGAAGCTTTTTTCTTTCTCTTTCATTTCTTTACGTTGAAATATGTGTACTCTGAAACAATTTTCAATCTTTTTTGAAAGCGTTATTCATTGATGAAGCAGTTTTTTTCTCGTTCAATTCGCCGATGGATCTCGTTCATAGCTCTGTTACTAATTTCATTAACCGTTGGGATTATCTATGTACAACGAACTACACAACCAGCTACGACGTGGATATCGGCGCCTATTCCCAGTAGTACACAAAGTCCTGCTTGTCCAAAAGATGAGAGAGCGATGAGAATATCATTTCTTAGTTCACGTTCTTTCTGTATACATTTACTGTCAGAGGATATCGTTTCGAATTCAATCGCTATGTCTCATTCATGGATGCCACATCAAACTAGATTAATTGCATCTATTCTGGCTGATACTCCATCAAAATCAGCTGCTTTCTTAGACATTGGTGCTAACATTGGTTGGTTTACTCTAGTCATGGCAACACTTGGCCACAAAGTTATCGCTATAGAACCCATGCAGAATAATGTTAAGCTACTGCAAGCATCCGTACACGCATCGCAAGTGTCACAAAATGTTATCGTACATCCCAATGGTCTTGGTGTCAAACCGAGCTTGTGTATACTCTACAGTGATAATCGTAATGTCGGTGATGGGCATACGATATGTGACATCACATCCGAGGAAGAGGCCAGTAGACGTATACCTGGAGGTTATTCACTCAGACAAGTTATTAATAGTACACGACTTGATACTCTAGTTAATCAGAATATCGATGTGATGAAAATCGATGTTGAAGGATCAGAATTATATGCAGTACAAAGTGGCATTCGTTTGTTCGATGAATATACAGTTCGTCACGTCATATCGGAATTCAGTCCTCGAATGATGCGAGAGAAGCAAAGTGATCCATACGAATACTTGAAATTCTTCGCCTCTCGCGGGTATAGCATTCGAATCGTTACCGATCAATTAGCAAGTTTATATGAGCAAAAAGCATGGCAATCAGTACCGACTCACAAATCTGATGACGATCTACGAAGATTAAGTAATGGTGAACAAATAGAATTATGGTTTACAAAAACGTGATTTCATCTATGTTGAAAAAATTTATTGATCGTATATAGTAATACAACTGCTAGGGATAATTTAATAACTGTTCTAGTTTCGGTGAGGTTCGAAAGAATCTCAGTGATTCGTCGAAGACATTCGGTTTGAGTTCGTGAATGTAGCAAAATTTCTCGTAGTATTTGTTGTGAATTATTGTGTCCTGTTGACGATGATTGAAATTCATTAGAGAAGACATGTTGACGTATATAATCAACAAATTGAGGAAACTCTTCTTCTGTTATCGGTTGTGCATCATTGTAGATCTGATTAATTGACTCTTTGAATTCACGTATAACTATTCGAAGAGATTCATGCGAAATTTGCCCATTGGTAGATACGCCTGTAGATGAAGGTCTTGAGCAAGTTGTTTGGAATGTTTTCATGCTGCATGCTGAAAGCAGAATAATAAATACGTATGAATTTTACTATGAAAATCAATGGATTTATTTACTGGGAGAAGCTTGTGTTTGCTTTTCAATAGTATGAATTTCAGCCATCAATTCTTCGAAACTTGCATCAAAACTACCTGGTGCAGTAAAATCAATATATAGTCGATCACGAATGACAAGACCCAAATAACCAGAAGGTTCGTATCCTGCTTGTAGAAGACACGGAACGAAATTGATGCGTTTTTTATCGGTCTACAAAACNATGACGGCGACTGAGCCGAGAGCATCAGCTAGGACATGGAGGAACACGCCGTGCATATTCATGGATGACTTTTTTTCTTTTTTGTTGACGTGTGTCGGAGAATGGATCTGTGGCGATGATGGTGAAGGAGGATGATAAATGCAGTCGACAATAACCTAGAGGAGATAGGAATGGTTATGAGATGATGAGAAAGACGCAGGAGTGTTACCTCGTCGAGAGCTCGAAGGCTGTGTCTTCTGAAGTCAGAGGAAGTGACAACGACTTCAATTGGTTCGATGTTTTCATCAATTTTTGACGTAGCGGTATTCGGGTTGGTTTCCGAAGTTCTATTGGATTGTTTCCGTAACTTTGATTCGTGAGGCGTATGATGACTGTGACCATGCGGCTCATCAGCGTCACTACTACCACCATGTGAATGACCATGAAAGCCTTGAAATAGAAACAGACCAATGATATTAATTCCTAGACCCACCGATCCAACAATGAGAAGAAGAGTAGGATTCTCGATAGGTTCCGGTTGAATGTACCGTTTGATAGTGTCAAAAATAATTGTTAAACAAAGAGCTAACAAGAAGACAGAGTTGATATTGGCACCAACGACTTCAGCACGTACCCATCCGAATGTGTTGATATTAGAACGTCTTTTAGCTATCCGCACAACTATTAATCCGATTGCAAGAGCTATCAGATCAGAGAGCATGTGGAAAGCATCGGCTACCAGTGCTAATGAATTGGTGATGTTACCGACAACAAGTTCGACGACGAAATATGAAAATGTCAATATCATCATCGATACCAGACGAAATGTCTTGGTTGAATAGAATCGAGTATCCTTTTGAGTTGATAACGACATTCAAAGGGATTCACTATTATAACTGCAATAGGTGATTATTTAAGTTTTCCTTTACAATGATGAATTTATATGTAGTTTATATATATTGTTGGGTATTGGATGTAATATACTGTGTACAATGACGTCAGCAAACATGTGCGCACCCCTGTTATGTATATTTGTATGTTACCTCCCCTGTGAAACTTTCAAGGGGGTGTTGAGATAGGTTTTATATGATTGCAATATGTCAAGCGTTAATTTCGCAGGGGGAGGAAGAAAGAAAACGTTGTCGAGCTACTTCGAAATAAGTTTTCATATGATTCTCGCTCTCATTATCGTAAGTTCTGGCGAATATAAGTCATTCAGTGTTATTTTGTAGGAATCATAAATGGGTCAGATAAATTCGATTGCTTTCCCTGAAAAAGAAGATATAATTTAAGTATTGATTTGATAATACGTATTGTTATTTGACCAGAGAGTGATTGATTTATACAAGTGTTCGTCAAGATAGTAAATCGGAAGTTCAATAATTGTATTCCGAATAATCAGTCTCAGTATCATATTGAATGTTCAACATCTGAATGAAAAAATGACCAGAAAATGTGACGTAAAGACAAAAACGGTACACACTGATTTTCTATTAGTTATTATTCATTTGTTTGAAGAAGATGGATTTGAAATGGTCAAGTATTTTTCGATGAATTCTTCGAACTCTTTTAAAAATGAGTGATGTGTACCCACTTTTTTCTTTCATTTCTTCTTCTTACTTAATGAAAAGATTATTGCCGGATGCTAAAATGATCACCACCTGAAACAAGACCTTTTCTCTTAATTAAACATCATGTTACTGATTGATTACGATATTCGATTACTTGGATTGTAATTTAAAATATACTCCTATGACATCAATTCTGTTGGAGGACTTTAACATCTTGAGAACATAATACACGAGCAAAATCACTCCGGTATCGATGCGGTACGGTGTCTACTTTGAGTTTCAAAAACCACAAAAACATCCTTCGCTTTGTCGTGATCATTTCATTTTAGAAAACTTGCATATACTCATTTTTCCTACAAGAAATATTGTCGGTTAAATAAGTTCAATCCAATTCTGTACAAAAACACTTCTTGTTATTTCTCTATGACTTAGAAAAATGCAATCCGTATATCCACCAGGCTCCAGAACAATCAAAGCAAAAATACTCCGAAATCTTTCGTTCAATTGGTCTACAACGTTTTCTTTCTTTCTCTCCCTCCCTGTGAAATTAGCACTTGACATATTTCAATCACATAAAAACCATTTCAACACCCCCTTTAAAGCTTAACAGGGGAGGTAACGTACAAAAATACATAACAGGGGTGCGTACATTTTCTACTTACGACACCTTAAGAAACTAAACTGCACCTAATAAAATCTAATCTCATCTATATAACGGATGCATAAATTCATTCATTCGCTTTATTGAATTATTCGTCGTCGTAAAAAGAACTTGAATATTCAGCTTTGCACTTGTAGTTGTGAATCTCTCACAATGTCTTCAACATCTGAGGTAGGACGAGTGTAGGTACTCCTGCTAGAAGTGTTGTACTTGTACTGATACTTTAAGACATAGATGTAACACTACGAGGAAAAATAAATTTTAACAGGAATTTCTATTAGAATATTATACATGACGGGCCTAAAAATGATCTATATATATAATTTTCTTTGCTGTTCGATAAGACAAAACATACGCCTCTATTTACCTTTCTTCTCTTTCTCTCTCTAAGGCAATTGTCAACTAGAGGTGAAGGATAAATAAAATAGACAAGTACTCCAATATTCAGTACTACATTTTTGTTTTCGAAGAAGATCGCGTACAAGTTTTGTTACAAATAGATAATCAAACGGAAGTGAGTTTGGCCTCTTTTCATGCTTTCATTTCTTTCGAACGAATCTTTCATTAATAACACACTTTCCTTTTAAGATTTCAGATCTTCATTCGTTTCCCTTTCACAATGGATTCTTTTGTCGTAAAAATAATAACCGCTCTCAGTTTTTTTCTCACTACACTAACCTGTTCCGTGTGTCCAATTGTCATTTCATTTTGGATGAAGAAACGACATAATAAATCCAAAACATTTGCATTCTCTGAGTCATCAAAACAACGTTCTACGAAGATTGTCCTGAGAAAAATACTCATCAGCGGTGTAACTTGTTTTGGTGGTGGCGTTTTCCTTGCTGCTTGCTTATTAGATCTTCTACCTGACGTTATCCATCACATCGATGCAACTTTGAAAAACGAGTTCAAATATGATAATCCAAAGGAATATCCTATTGCTGAAATACTTATCACGTGTGGCTTTTTCATTGTTCTCTTTATTGAACAAATCACTTTGTCCATTCGGTCACCAACAGCAAGTTTAACTCCAATATTTCGTGAAACACCTTCTCTTACTGTTTCGGAAAAGACACATATCGAAAGAGATGGTGAGAAAAATGAACAAGTTTTACTAATGCATAATAACAATTCTTCATCGACTATCGAACATCAAATGTCGTTGATGAGCCCCAAATGTGATACAACCAGAAATGCAAACGATCTACTAATTACCCGAAATTTACTTATGATATTGTCACTTGTTATTCATTCCGTGTTTGAAGGTATCGCCATTGGTTCATTGACGGATTCTCAAACAATTATACAACTATCTCTTGCTATACTGATTCATAAATCAATTATTTCATTTAGTGTTGGTCTTAAATTGCTACCCACATCAAAAACCCGATCGGCCTATCTCGCCTGTGTTATTTTTGCTGCTGCAACACCTACAGGTATATTAACTATGTTAAGTATGCAAGGAATTTTGCCAAATCATCGTTCGACTAAACTTGTCAACGACTGTCTTCGTGCTTTTGCATGTGGTACATTTTTCTACATAACATTTTTCGATGTCTTACCTCATGAGCTCAATAGTACATCAATACCAGCAGGATCATCGTCCATATCAAAATTACAACGACTGATCAAGACATGTTTTATACTTATCGGTTTTGCTGCCACTGCCACTCTTATATTTGCAACAAAGTGACTCTTTTTTTTTCTCATCTATTAGCGTTTTAGTGTAACCCAGTATGATCTTCATTACAATCATTTCTCGAAACAAATACTTTGTCATATATTGCTCGTGCGACTGATTTGAGTTGTCTCCTTGTCCTTGAAGAGTACCTAGGAGGACTACTGGTAGAATTTTCAATGTCATGTATCCTAGCGATAAGTTTCGTTTCGAATCTATATTGACGGATATTCTCTTTCTAATTGCTAAGACTGACACTTTATCGAATATCGGATTCAATCTGCAATTGCAAGTAAAACTAAAAGAAAAAGACAGAACTATATTACAATTTCACAAGTTATCACAAATGTATGAGTTACAAAAAACAGAATACTAAAAAAGATTTATTTTTTGATCATTTTTGCGATAATCGTTGAGATAGCAGAGCCATTTTCCGAAAGACTAACTTTTTGTATGTCCAGTGAAATGTTTTGCTTGTTACTTCGTGTTTCGTTACTTGGCGATGCTTCAAGTGTTATAATTAATTTAGGACTCAGCTTGGGATATAGAACTTGGCATAATCCATCAGTACTTCTGATCACTATATGTTGCACTTTTGTCGGATTTGACTCATTTTTCGAGTGCTTCACGACATTTCGAAGGATGTCTAATTTAGTCATTTCATCATGACCAACAAGTGCTGCGAGAAAAATGATTTGACATTCTTTTAGGATTGATTCTACTTCGATTGGAATCGACTTCTGACCAATATCCTGCGTAATGAAATGCATTCTTTCGATTAGATGTCCAGGTAATAATTGCTTTGTTATTCCTAATGCCAACTGATTCGCCTCATATGACATGTCAAAGTTGTAAATATCAGCAAATGGAGCGTACTTACGAAGAATAAGTATGGAAGAGATGGGAATAGGACCTGAACCAATAAAAGCTATTTTGTTTACCAAAATGTTGCTTGTATCATTTGGTATTGAACTTTGAGAGAACTGAATGCCGAGTTCGTGTAGCATTTTAATCTCAAATTCAATTAATCGATGATAATCACCATCGTCGGAAAATTGTTCAATCAAATTTTGGCCAGGATTGGTGGTATATATCTTCGCCAAATTCTTTTCGAGATAATATTCATATTGCGATCGTGAACGGCGCAATTGATCACATACTGCTTGAAGAACCAAATCTGTTTCCAGCATACGTTCAAATATAGATGAGTCCAATGCAGTCGAGCAACAAAATTTCAGAAGTTCATCGAATAAGTTTGTTGCTTCGGAAGAAGGATTGAATAGACTAAGTTTAGAAATAGCTGTGTTAAAGTCGATGAGCTTTTCGCGAACAGAATTACTCGTCATAATAAGTTCCATTGTCTCCAGAAAATGGCAAGCTATATATATTATAGATCCTTACTAACAACACTGCTTTCTGTAAAATACATTATTCATGGAAACATATATACACCGAGAGCCCACGCCTTCTGAAAGCACCCCTTTTGTGCATGCATTCTTCTTTTCGGAGGTGTCTATTGCCACCACCCCTCTTCCTTAAACACTTATTCATTCACTAAGGCTCCCCCTTTTATACATGCCCCCCCTCTAAAAAGTGCGAGGTCGTTATTGTAAACATTGTGTACGTTAGCAGCATGATTTTAACATGAGAAAAGCAAACGAAACGAATTTATTCAGTTCTATATTCCAAACTGCGAATACTCTAATGATATAGCCTGATGTTGGTTTCAAATGGTAAAGAAAATTAAGAATTTCAACATTTGCCTTTGTAACTTATATCAGAAGCTTTTATCGGATTCGTGTAAGATGATTTATTCTAAATCAATTGTGAAACAAAGGAACGCACCGAGCCCGAGGATGTCGGGGTACTGAAAAAGTCTCAGAGCTTTAGACATATAGTCGAGTGCTTATTCTTCTAGAGAAATCCTGTGAAATTCATTTGTTTCAATAGTCGCAAACATGTTAGCTAAAATGCGGTGTCAGACGAATTGTTTTTATATATCTATATAGAAGACAACAACAACAGAAAACTTAGGTAAAAAGTAAGTTCAAACAAGACACTGTATCGGGATATCCATGATACTTGGATCCTTGATGTTTGGTTCAAAACGAGTAAGTTCTTGTATCGAAATCATGCGGGCAGCTGGTACACGTAATTGTGCTCTCAATGGAATACACTGACCATCGCGACTCACGGTTGTATAAGCTGACACTCCATCTTTTTCAATTAACCAAGTATCAGATACGATTGTCTTTCCATTAAATTCAGTTGTACTTTCGTTTACATAGGAAGCCCATGCTAAAAGAAAATTGCAAGTTAAAATGAGAAAGAATATCAACATGAATAGCATACATGGTATACATCTCATTGTTTGTTCTGAGAATGGAACGGCTGAACAGGATTTTGAAGCTTCATCTATAATATACGTTTGGTTGTCATTAAAGCTTTGAATAGACCACATTGAATATGAAGCTCCGCTTGACATCGTTAGCACTTCACCTTTGATTCCTATCAAACCACGATCTGCATCATACGATAACGTATTAGAGCCCTATTAGAATAAAAACTAGCTGTATCAAATAACTTGTAGAAAAGAGAATATCTCACGATGGTTTCTTCTACGCTTCCATCAGTTGATCGAATGTAGATACGCGTTACAGCATCTGCATTGTATTGTCTCATCCAACAGCAACGTTCTGGTTCCTTTACAGCTGCTCTGATCGATCTACCATAGCCATTGGATACAAGTAAAGAGATTGTAATGTACACGACGTAGTGAAACATGATTAATATCTAAAGGAGAAGAGAACGATAGAAATAAAGCACATCGTACATTTTGATTCTTACTTCGTATCGAAGATGTGTATATGTATATCGTATCAAACCATATTGGTACATATATACTCACTCAAATCACGTTGGCAATCAAGCAGAAGGTATATGTATGACACTACTATTAGAATATTAATTATAGATATGCGCTTGTTATTTTATCCCATCACCGCTTTCTACATTTCCCCATATCATTGGGTGACGTCAGAGTGTTTTGAAAATATTTACCTGACGTGTGTGTGTGGTATATAGCAAAATAATTAACTATTTACGACGCAATGAAAAAAAACGTAATTCTTTCGGATTTGTTTTGAAGTCGGAGAGTATTTATAGACTATTATATAATTATATGCAAATCGTTCTGGTATATTTGTTTGCGTGGCAAATGAAATGGTGAATATTCATTTTCATGTGATCAACGTGTTTACGTCAAAGATATTGTGGTTATTCATCATGATTCTAAGATTCCTTCATATTCAAATGACGAACTTGAACTAAACACTCCACATACTTATTGCATTTATTCTTTTTTTATAAATTTATGACATACAAATGAGAATATTTATCTTTCTGTTCTACATTGTTTCAATTATGAAATTCTGTTAGGTTTATGTAAGTGTAATTGGTATTTGTATCTTCAATTGACCATCTTTATCCAATTGCTTTGTCATCTGTTGAGTTTGTGCTCCAGCTGGTAATGTTGTCGATCGGAAGAACCGTGCTCGTTTGGAATGATGATTTTCTTTATGTTTACACTGACCTCGAACAACTAACTCATTGTTTTCTATAGAAACATTCATATCTTCGAGTTGACAGTTTTTCACATCGATTGTCATTTGCAACGCTTTCCTATTTCCACCAAGGTCAGCAATGCATGGATGAAAATCTGCACTCATTAAAAGTTTAACATAAGAAGCCAATGAATCACGTGATTCTTGTGATTCCGATTGAGGGAAGTTTCCATATTGACTATTTTGCACATGACCTTGTCCAGAATAACTTCTATTCGGATAACTTTGCTCTGGTGCTTGCCCAGTATAATTACTATTTGGATAACTTTGTTCCGGAGCTTGTCCAGTGTAGTTATCATTTGGAACGCTTTGCTCTTGACATTGTGGAAGATCATTTCCATAGCCGCTGCTTTGTTCTTGACCCTGGCCAGAATAGTTTCCATTCTGGTAGCTTTGCTCTGGAGCTTGTCCTAGATAATTTCCGTTCTGAAAACTTTGTTCTTCGCCTTGTGCCAGACAGTTCTCACCCGGTGAACTTTTAGTAAAAGGCACCTCAATTAGAAGTATATTATCCGATACCATTCGGGAAGTCATACATGATGGATCTATATCAGCAAATTAGAAAAAAATTGTTATCTCTCGATTATTACTTACCGGCTTGTTTAGGTATTTGATATGTTCTTTTAAATTGTCGGATAGTATACTCTTCGTCATCTTGTCGGTCTTCTTCATTAGCTTCAACAATTAGTTTGCCATTTTCAACCTTCATCTTGACTGATTCCTGATCGAATCCACGAATATTCACATGGACACAGAACTTTTCTGAATTGGCTTCGGCTGCTGCTGATTCTGTCCCTCTGTTCGTTGAATTGCATCCTTGGGTTTTCGACAAACTGGTCGATGGTTGACATTTCGCACTACGCAATCGATAAACTCGTGGTTGAATGTAACAAGTTGATGTGCATGTATCAAAACAATCCCATGGATCGTAAGCATCCAAGTCATCACACGCGCTCGTGCAGAGGTACGGTGAACAGAATCTGTAGCATGCCATTTGAAAAGTAAGTTATTTGACGATAACTGTTGAAATATATATTATCGTGTTTAGACCAGAGCGCAGGTACAAACGTACAGCGATACATATTGAAAAGTAATGAAGTGTAACTTTTCGTTTGTTACATCATTAATTGTTACGCTTGGTTATGAGGTTGCGTGTTTTCTGTTCTTTGTATTTTCTCTATCGATGTTTAAAAAAAACAATTTCTCATTAACTACATTTCGAAATAATTGAAAATATTTCAGTTTGAAAACAGTCCTTGAATATCAATGGTCGGAATTGGATATGCATTTCGGACATAATTTCTAGGAGTCGTACCATTACGCTATGAATCCAATTACTTGTTTGTCGGACTGCGCTTTCTTAAACATAATCTCAATCGGCCATTTCCTTTTCATCCCCGAGAGCAAAAAGTTTTGAATTTCAATATGAAGGATCTGTCGACAGTCAAGAGACTGACGTTATTAACACTAAAACGATTCATCCGGAAGGCATTCACGGTGTAGCTTAGTGAGCTTATAATACTTGTTGATCTATTGTCGACAATAATGCTGGACGTAGTGTAAGATTAGGCTTGTTTTCGTGTGTTCTTTTTTATAGTAACGGATAGGTAGAGAAAACAAATCAATCAAGATGTCTATCAATAATTTTACACCGTAATGAATTTTCCCAGTTGCTCTATTTGAATCACACATTGCAAGCGTAGACACATCGAAAGAGATGCAATGCGAACATAATGACAACACATGGTTATTTGTCGATCGGAAACCATATTATGCAATGTGTACATTTCTCTAACTTGCTGAGTATTCTGAAATTTTGAGCAAGTACAAGGGTGGACCATCGGTTTAAGAAGATTCCCAAAACTGACATAGACAAATTAAAAATTCCATCTCAAGAAGTTGTTTAATGAATTTGATACATGAATTACCAATATATTATAACAAGTATGCGATAATTGGCATAATAGATGCTATTATTAGTTGTTCGACTGTGCCATTCTTCGTAATCCACTCGATATATTATTAACAATCAGCAACCGTCGAAATTGCTATTTCTGATAATCGTGCGATTAGAGTAAAAGAGAAACCTGTTTTGAGTGAACCATCACCTAACTCATTTTCTAATCATTCATATGCTGTCTACCACTTTAAGTTTGTATCAGCAAGTAACTCACGAAAATTACAAAGCGTTGTCAACTTTAAACTAGTCGTTCTTGTTTCAATAGCGATTATAAAATAGGTTGATCATTTTTCAACTCATCAGCAACTACAGAAAGGTTTCATTTTTGATAAACTGACACTTGATGATAATTACTCCAGTTTTTACTCGTTATACAACATTTGATTTCGATGAAGAAAAAACCTTCAATCATATCAACAAGATAAGCAATGAAGTCAAACACATTGATTTTAATTTCAGAAAAATGTTTATCAAATAGCTTAAATCTCTTCGAGAAAGGAATATATGAATGCGAATGTCGCTACTACGAAATCGAGCCGTTAAATGTCGGCTAATCGGTATGATTTCTTCTTATAAGCAAGTCACAAAGAGAGACGGAAAATAAACGATGTTAATGTATGATATCTTTGAATGATGTCAAGTCCTAAGAATATGTTTCTTTTGAAGTCAAATTTTGACAATGTACGTGAAAATGAAATAAATGTTTGCATTGTATACAGCTACGTTTTGACAGCTTGTATTTGTTTCCTTCTATATACTCCGTTAGAAACTCACATATGTCAACGTTTTATTTGCTTCCCGTAATTGAAGCATTGCAAGTATGATTTACATCATGCTCCCCGTTATCAAATATTATTTTAGTTACTTAAAATGACAGAACCACTTTCTCTTCTTGCACACGCTTTTTTTTTGTTCTTCAGTTTTATAAATATAATCAGTTGCTGCTACCATAGCTAAAGAACAGCTTTTATTATAAAGATAAGAACCTTTTTTCTTTCTCTTTCATTTCTTTACGTTGAAATATGTGTACTTTGAAACAATTTTCAACTTTTTTCGAAAGCGTTATTCAATGATGAAGCAGTTTTTTTCTCGTTCAATTCGCCGATGGGTCTCGTCCATAGCTCTGTTACTAATTTCATTAATCGTTGGGATTATCTATATACGACGAACTACACAACCAGCTACGACGTGGATATCGGCGCCTATTCCCAGTAGCACACAGAGTCCTGCTTGTCCAAAAGATAAGAGAGCGACGAGAATATCATTTCTTAGTTCACGTTCTTTCTGTATACATTTACTGTCTGAAGATATCGTTTCGAATTCAATCGCTACGTCTCATTCATGGATGCCACATCAAACTAGATTAATTGCATCTATTCTGGCTGATACTCCATCAAAATCAGCTGCTTTCTTAGACATTGGTGCTAACATTGGTTGGTTTACTCTAGTCATGGCAACACTTGGCCACAAAGTTATCGCTATAGAACCCATGCAGAATAATGTTAAGCTACTGCAAGCATCCGTACACGCATCGCAAGTGTCACAAAATGTTATAGTACATCCCAATGGTCTTGGTGTCAAACCGAGCTTGTGTATACTCTACAGTGATAATCGTAATGTCGGTGATGGGCATACGATATGTGACATCACATCCGAGAAAGAAGCTAGTAGACGTATACCTGGGGGTTATTCACTCAGACAAGTTATTAATAGTACACGACTTGATACTCTAGTTAATCAGAACATCGATGTGATGAAAATCGATGTCGAAGGATCAGAATTATATGCAGTACAAAGTGGCATTCGTTTGTTCGATGAATATACAGTTCGTCACATCATATCGGAATTCAGTCCTCGAATGATGCGAGAGAAGCAAAGTGATCCATACGAATACTTGAAATTCTTCGCCTCTCGCGGGTATAGCATTCGAATCGTTACTGATCAATTAGCAAGTTTATATGAGCAAAAAGCATGGCAATCAGTACCGATTCACAAATCTGATGACGATCTACGAAGATTAAGTAATGGTGAACAAATAGAATTATGGTTTACAAAAACGTGATTTCATCCATGTTGAAAAAATTTATTGATCGTATATAGTAATACAACCGCCAGGGATAATTTAATAACTGTTCTAGTTTCGGTGAGGTTCGAAAGAATCTCAGTAATTCGTCGAAGATATTCGGTTTGAGTTCGTGAATGTAGCAAAATTTCTCGTAATATTTGTTGTGAATTATTGTGTCCTGTTGAAGATGATTGAAGTTCATTAGGAAAGACATGTTGACGTATATAATCAACAAATTGAGGAAACTCTTCTTCTGTTATCGGTTGTGCATCATTGTAGATCTGATTAATTGACTCTTTGAATTCACGTATAACTGTTCGAAGAGATTCATGCGAAATTAGCCCATCGGTAAATATATCTGTAGATAAAGGCCTTGAGCAAGTTGTTTGGAATGTTTTCATGCTGGATGCTGAAAGCAAAATAATAAATACGTACGCATTTTACTATGAAAATCAATGGATTTATTTACTAGGAGAAGCTTGCGTTTGCTTTTCAATAGTATGAATTTCAGCCATCAATTCTTCGAAACTTGCATCAAAATTACCTGGTGCAGTAAAATCAATATATAGTCGATCACGAATGACAAGACCCAAGTAACCAGAAGGTTCGTATCCTGCTTGTAGAAGGCACGGAACGAAGTTGATGCGTTTTTTATCGGTATACAACACTTCTACAACAGATCTCATCATTAGTAAAAGTATATAAACCACTCGAAATAGATCACCTTTTTGGCAAAATTCACTTTCGTAGTAGTCATGATTCATAAGAAATAGAACAACAAATGCATTTTCAATTGCATCAGCCATTCCTTGATGTATAGAACCATGTAAATCATTTCTATCCATCCATACTTTATAACCACGATTCTAAAAAGACAATCAGCATAAATTTATCTCGTTTTCCAATACGAACTCTCAGTCTTCTGAACAGTTCTTCACATATTTGATATGATGAATCATGATGATAACTTATCATTATATGTTGTCCCAGTCTCGAATTCAATCCTTCATGATTATCCGTATTGAGAGTCACAGCTTCTGCATGCGTTTGTACATTATTCGCATCAGCACCAAACGGATTAGAATTGGATTCTCTAGGAGTGTTAGCCGAACTGCATATGTGATATAACCGATCTTCTAAGTCTTGAAATGCTTCGACTACGCCTTCTGCAACTGGAGTAAGTTGAGATGACATCGAACTATCATTTGAGGCACTTGAGAAAATCAACGTGTCAATATTGCTGGTGGTTCCTTCTAGAAAGAGTTAACGGAAGTGTTAGGAAAACGTTTCTTACAGATGATCATTTACGAGCGTTGGACACCGCGGTTTGCGGCATGCTATCTGCGCCATCAAGCAATTGTTCCTACAAATCAGCGATATATTCTTTCTTTAGCTGAGAGTATGTTATACGCAACGTTACTTGTAATGTATCAGTCATCACAATGCCAAGTAACTCTGAAATTTCCGAATCTTCATTGTCTTTGGATGTGGCCATTTTGTACACTAGACAGGTGACTTCTGTAGATTTTATCGGTGTGCAAATAGGATCAAACAGAAGGAAGAGTTGGTTTCTTTCGTTGCACAACGTGCTTTGACTTCGTAAAAGAATGTTGTCAAAAACATTGGCAAACGCATTTTATTTCCTTTCTTTTTCACTCTCCGTCAAAAGCAAACCGTAATTTCATACGACAGTTGGTGTTTCTCTTTCTTATATTTGCACACCTGTCTGTATTTACCTTTCATATATACATTCAGATAAGAAAAATACAAGAACTTATATTGCTTTGTATATCATTGGAAAAAAGAACGCAAAAGCAATTTGCGTGACAAAAAATATCACAGCACGCCATGAGAATACATTGTATTTCAATGCTTTTTCGTAACTCAAAAATCATATTTAGGGTAATGAGTCAATTATAACAACGAGACGTTTAGACAGAGGTGCAGGATCTTCCTCTTGCGCCACCGACCGGTGGAGGCAATTTTTTGAAAAAAACTGTTAGAAAGAGAAACTTTCCTCTCTTCATAGTTAACTGTCATAGGATATAATTCATTCTTTTGCATTTGTTGCTTTATTTGTATACTCTGTTCTTAATCTCGTCAAGAACAGACACATTACTGCTAAGGTATAACTTCTTGGCAATTCTTTTTCTATAGATTTCTTTGCACTCTCTTATCGCTTGCTACCCTACATCGTGACCGAAGAAAGATATGTGAGTAATTTTTCCAATATGGATAATTCCAATATATGTTAATTCTTTCCTTATGATAATAGTACAACTGTTGAATCTTGTCTTCTATGTGCTTGTGCATGACACACTGATTTTCCCTATATACTGTGTTGGTTTTTTCCCTTTCTCTTGCGTCCTTTTTTCTGTTTATGCACATATACGTTTATCACTTCTTTATTTTAGTTATTCCTTCGTTCTTTTTCTGTCTCGCTTGATTTTTTCTCTTCTATGTCGTTAGTGTCATTGAATAAAATCGAATCCAAGTTTACATAGAAAATTTATAAGGGAGAGAAAAGAGAGAGATTGTTTTCATCTTTTTTCGCACGCAGTGAATAGCAAATACGCTTATTTTTGCTGACTTTCGTTCTTGTGTTTCATCTCTTGACTCTTACCGGTTTTCAAATTGATTAGGATGTTTCGCAGTAAAGAAACTATCGGTTGTTTTGAACCGCTTCAGAAAAGAACAATTAGAAAGAATTCCTATAATGTACGAATAGTCACGAACAGAAAAAATGTTGTCATGCTTTTTGACTTATATTTTATATCAAATAAAGCGGATCTGTGAGCAGTGAAGATAAAACCGCTTGGGGAAATTTCTTGGACAAATTTTCTTGGTGGGGGAAATTTTCGATTTTTTGGAAAATTCTGCACCTCTGCGTTTAGATTATCAAACTTGAAACTATAATCGTTTTTGACGGCATTTTCAATTTCATCATCCTCATATAATTAGTACTGTGTTTACGTGTTGTTTGCTATAGAATTACGCAAGTTTCAGAAGCTTGGTGCGAGTAATTCGTGATCAGAACATGAGCTGCCAAATATAACTTCGAATGCACATGAATACTCGACTGTTTTTGTTAACTTCAAAAATAAGTTAGAAAGACGAGAATTGAACCTTGAAAATGTATTAGAACTGAATGCAGTTCTAATCTCGTACATGTATGGAATTATGTTTTCCTTCAGAAATAATTTTATACTTCGATTTGCGTTTGAAATCTGCATTTATATTCGACTGAAACTGGAGAGGCTGCTGATCCAGCTGAGACTTTCTCTGTTCGATTTTTGTCTGACTATCGGCATGAAGCTGTATAAGCAAACCACAGCGTTTTGGCGGCTTTGCGCTGTATTCACGAGTTTTCAAAATCAAAATGCCGTTATTTTTCTTTTTCGTCTTATGCTGTAGTCAGAGATTCATTTTAAGAGTAAGAATGTTTGTATAGGAAGAAGAAGGAATGTTTTTCCCAAGTTTTATAAAACGTGAAGGAACACATTACTTTTATCGTTCTTTACCAGACACCCATTTCTCACATCTTACAACAACTACCTTATAAATAATCCAATCTCACAGCAATGACAAATCAGAAACAAGGCGACTTGGATATGTTCGAGCAGACACCAGCCACCTTTCAACAAGCAAATGAATTTAATCGTATAAAAATTGAAGAGACGCAAGATATTTCTGTCATTTGGCTGGACACTCACATTCACAGCAGTAATCCAGATTATC